CGGCTCTGATGGTAGTACAACAAGTCATCAAACTTCTTAAATCAGTGGTGGCACAACTGGCGTCTGGCCTTTTTGTTTCTAGCTCCAATTTCTCTTCAGCGGAACTCGGTGGGTGTGTCCGGAGGTGAGGAAAGGTCCAGGCCCAGGGACAGCCTGCAGACTGGAGTACCATCCTCAGGGATCCCGGCTAGCCGACTCACAGGAGACAGGCCGCAGAGCTCAGGGCTGAGCGGCCAGGCCAGGTCGGCCCCACAAGCAGGTGTGCCTGTACGGCTGGGTGCCTCCCCGGCTCCTGGATCAGGCCAGGCTCAGAACCTGTCAAACGGGAGTGGGCCTAGCTTGCGACAAAGTGGCAGCCCCTGGTTTAATGGCACCAGCAAGCAGTCCTTATCTCTCGGTTCTGCCTCATCTAAGATCTCCAGCAGTTGCTCCAACTCTCCATCAAGAAGTGTAGCCCTAGGGCACACCCCAAAACCACCTCCTCGGAGGGCCGCCATCTCCGAACTGCCCAGGATACCGAAGATCCAAAGGGACGGCACTGGCAGCAGGCAAGACGCAGCCCCACCCCAAGGACAGAGTGTTGAGATCCCCAGCACCTGCATCAGTCGCCTGACAGGCAGGGAGGGCCCTGGGCAGCCAGCGCAAGGCCGGGCAGAGAACGAGCCCAGCCACAGGGGCCCCCAGGACCCCGGCTCACACACAGGCAGCTCCCGGCCCCCAGCTCCCAGCTCTCATGCCAGCCTAGCCTCCCTGGGGCCCTCGAGAGGAAAAGGTCTCGGGTCCACCTTTGAGAGCTTCAGGATCAACATCCCGGGAAACACAGCACATTGCAGCCGACTGTCCAGCCCTGGCTTCTGCAACACTTTCCGGCCTGTGGACAGCAAGGTACAGAGGAAGGAGAACCCTTCCCCGCTGTTCTCTATCAAGAAGACGAAGCAGCTCAAGAGTGAGATATATGACCCCTTTGACCCCACGGTTTCTGACTCAAGCCCTCCCAGCAGCAGCCCTGAGAGTCTTGGCCCCAGCCTCCTACCATCGGAGATTACAAGAACCATCTCCATCAACAGTCCCAAGGCCCCGGCATTTCAGGCTGTGCGCTGTGTCACCTCCTACACTGTGGAAAGTGTCTTCGAGACCGAGGCGGAGCCCCCTGTGTCCAGTGTGCTGAAGCTCCGGGGTGAGGGTGCTGCTGAGGGGGCCTCTGATGTGGAGCAAGAAGAGCTAGGTGAGGAGCCTACAGAAAGCCGGGGCCCTGCTGCCCGGGCACAGAGACCATCCCCCCAGGACCCCTGGGATGACGAAGATGGCGCTGCCCACGGCACCTTCTTTGGCTCTGAGGAGCGGATGGTAACCTGTGTGACTATCCTGGAGCCGGAGGCCTCCCCTAGCCCAGATGCGCCACAGGCAGCCACCCACAGGATTGTGGAGCTGCGGGCCCCATCCCGCTCCCGCTCCACCTCCAGCAGCAGGAAGAAGGCCAAGAGGAAAAGGGGGACCAAGGAGCACCGGAGGACACGCTCCAGGACCCACTCTGGCTCCAGAGACAGGACCTCACGCTCGGCTTCACCCTTGGTTGAGGAGCACTCTAGGGGGCGCGAGGCCAAGGGCAAACACAGGAGGCCTTCCAGTGACCGTGCCAGCAGCCAGGAGAGAGCAAAGAGGAGGAAGGCCCAGGACAGGAGTAGGGAGCGGAGGAGAGACTCCAGGGGACGAGGCCGGAGGAGGTCCCGGTCACGCTCAGGAAGCCCCGGCAGTTCCTCCTGCGAGCGCTATGGGAGCAGGAGAAAGAAGAGGCGCCAGTCGGGGTCCAGGTCTCATGGGAGGGACTGCTCTCCACCCAGCAGCCTGGAGAGGGCCCGGAGGCACAGGCACCAGCGGGAAAGGAGCCGAGAGCGGCCCAACAAGGAGAGCACAGGCCGGGCCCGAGAGAGAAGGAAGTGGAGGTCACGGTCGCCCAGCTCAGAGCACAGGGCGCGAGAGCCCCGGCAGCCACGTTCCCGAGAGAAGCGGCCCCGCTCCCCGGAGAGGAAGGGAACTGCCAAGGAGGCGTCCCCGGTGCCCGCTCTGCAGCAGGAGGTGAGGCAGGGCGGAGCCCACTCAGTCACTGCCCCAGTCCCAGCAGAGACGGGCATCGTGGCAGAGGTGGTGGTGTCTGGCCAGGTGCTCTCACAGGCACCCCCTGTCCTGGAGGAGCCAGCTGAGTGTGCACCTGAGGACCTGGATTATGGGGCCTCCGTGGAGGCGGGCCACGTCTTCGAGGACTTCTCAAGTGAAGCCATCTTCATCCAGCTTGATGACATGAGCTCACCTCCTTCCCCTGAAAGCACTGACTCCTCCCCAGAACGAAGCTTCCTGCCCAACCCTGCATTGCCCCCAGCCACGCAGGCACAAGAGCCCACCCTGGCTGCCATCCAGAGGGAGGTGTCGCTGATCCACAGTGAAGACGTTGTGCACCCCCTGCCCCGGGCAGAGGGACCCCCAGAGCAGCGCCCACTCAGGCAAGACTTGGCAGAGAACACTGTCATGGCTCCCAGCACCCTGGCTGTGGCACCAGTAGAGGAGGACAGCCCCTCAGGGAGTGGGAGGCTGTGCCAGGTGGCCGGGCCTGAGGAAGCAGCAGTACAAGCCCCCCTGCTGCGGTCCCGGGCCTTGGTGAAACGCGTCACTTGGAACCTCCAGGAGTCTGAGGGGGGCGCCGTGGCCCCGGACAGAGGCTCAAGTGAGTATGTGCTTCTGTGGCTGAGCAGGCAGGGTGCCCTGTGGGTGGAGCACCCTGTGGGTGGGGCAGGGAACAGCCACCCAGGGGCCCCCACCTCCCTGGCTCTTCAGGGCCTAGCCCCAGTAGGCCCAGGGAGGACCTTGGGCTTGACCTTGTGGTCCCCACTGCCAGTGCTTTTCTAGGGTTCCAGCTAGCAGGCTGTGTTCTGGCCGAGGCTGGTCCCAGGGCACCCACCTCCCCTGTGTGTTGGACCCCCAGGGACGCCACTTCACAGGCCACAGAGGCCGCGGGAAGAAGCCTGGGACACTGAGGATGGGGGCCCCATAGGCGACACTCAGGCGCTGATCTCTGAGCTGCCACCTCCCAGCCACATACTCCTAGAGCCTGGATTCCCTGACATGAACCCCTCTCAGGTAGGTGCCAGGCTAGAGGACATGGGCCACACGGCCACATCAGCTAGGACCAAGGCCTTGTGGTGCCATTTCATTTCTGCCCTGCCCCCTGTGCTTCGGGAGTGGGGCTGCAGAGGGGGATTGCCAACCCTCGGGGCTCTGCACTCAGTGGGTCATTCTTGTCCAGGTTTACAGCTCCAACATGCCTCCCGGCTTGGCTCAGCCTCCAAGCATCCCACCTTACACGCTGATCAGCCAACCCTCAGTCCAGTTTATTCTACAAGGGAGCCTTCCTCTCGCGGGCTGTGGGGTGGCCCAGAGTGTGGCCCCTGTGCCCACCGCACTAGCTACAGCCTCAGAGCCGGCTGGTCAAGCCAGCACCACTGACTTGGAGGAGAGGACAGCCACTCCCAGGCCAGCCACAGAGAAGACCAGGAAGGAGGAAGTGAGTGCCACTGGCCCTTCCCAGGGTTCCTGGGGCTGAATTGAGGAGCAGAAGCCAGCCCAGGGGGCTCCGTCAGGATGGTGGGAGCTATTGGGTTTGCCTCTTGCTTCTGGGCTGAAATGGCTCCCAGCACCATGGGGCCTCGCACCAAAGGCCCTCACCTGCCATCAGTGTCACGGGTGTCTTCCCTCCTAGTACATGAAGAAGCTGCACATGCAGGAGCGAGCTGTGGAGGAGGTGAAGCTGGCCATCAAACCCTTCTACCAGAAGAGAGAGGTGACCAAGGAGGAGTACAAGGACATCCTCCGCAAAGCTGTGCAGAAGGTGGGCTACAGGCACCTGTGCCCTCGCTGGGGAGCCTGAGGTCTTGGGCAGCATGGCCCGGCAGGAGGCAGGTCACTGCTCTTTCTTGCCAATACAGACTTTCAGGGTCCGTAAGTATAGCTTGGGCCTGGCCTGCCAGACCATGTCCTGACTGAGGCCTTGGGTCAGTTCTCTCTGTAGCTGCCCCTCACTCATGAGCATTCATGCTTTTGAAAAAGCTAAAATAACGCATGGCATTTAAAATGGCCCTATCCATGCCCAACTTGCAGGTGGTAAATGCCCTGGGGGATCTGTCTACAAACCTGTGACACTTGGGGCACCCTCAGCAACCCTGTGAGGTGGTAGACAGATGGCACGACCCTGTAGGCAGAACCCTGGGCCCTGCTCTGTGGGCATGGAGGCCTGGATAGCGGGGGCTCAGGCCCTGTTGCTGCAGCGTCTGGCCTGAAGCATGTTGGGTAACCAGATCTCACTCTCCAGATCTGCCACAGCAAGAGTGGCGAAATCAACCCTGTGAAGGTGGCCAATCTGGTGAAGGCCTACGTGGACAAGTACAGGCACATGCGTAAGCACAGGAAGACCGAGGCTGGGGAGGAGCCGCCCGCCCAGGGGACCGAGGCCTGAGGCCCGAGGCCCTTGAGCCTTTGTCACAAAGGCCTGGGGCCACCAGCACTCCTGCCTTTGGGCTCCCGTGATGACACCGGTCTGCACCTGTCTTGCTCACAGTTGAAAACTGGACTTTTTTATATGTATATTATAGATACACTGTTTCCATTGTGTTCTAATTTATCAAAAATGGCTTATCTTTAGAAACTTTGCTGTGGCCTCAGTACTTGGAAGGTGAAGCCTTTGGTGATAGTCTGGGGCAGGGAGAGACTCCTGGATCCTTTTCCAGGTGGCCTCCTTTGTCTCTGTTTTAGCAATTTCTCTATTTTCAGTTTTAAAATCGCCTTCCGCCCCTTCAGGTAATTGTTCCAGGTTTGCACTCCACCAGCTGCTTCCCAGGAGGCAGAGCACAGTGCTCCAGACCTCCAGGCAGGACAGGTACCGCTGGGCACATGATGGCACCTCCCCAGCTCTCCTGGTGGACCAGCTTTCCCCCACACCCAACTCAGGGGCATTTGTATCCAGTGAGTGGTTTATTAGCACTTCAGTGTGTCACTTGAGTGCGCGATAAACAGAAGAGTGGGCATGCAGGGGAGGTCTGCAGTGTGCTTCCTGGGCTTCACCTCCCTTGCCAGGGCCCTGCATGTCTGGTCAGTACTGCCAGCAGGGAGAACAGGACAGCACTGGTTCTCGGCACTCTTCTGTTGGGGGCGGCTGGGGTAGGGGGCTAAGCTGGCTGTTCCAGCTCCATGAGGAAGTGCTCAATGTCATCGTAGAGGCTGTTGGTGCTTGACAGGGACAGGCTGAGGCTGCCACTGTCCAGGGAGGACACGCCCTCACGTTGCACACCCTCCAGGTGCACCCGGCACAGCCATGGCTCCAGCTGCAGGGGGGCATCTGTCAGGGCCCTGGTGACCTGAGGGCCAGGCAGTCCCTTCTCACCCTCCTGGCCCCGGGCCTCACCTTCACCAGGACCAGGTTCTTTTCCTTGGGCCTCCCTGCTGACAGGTCCTGCCCAAAGCCCAGGTAGATGGTGTAGTGTGGGGAGCCTTGGCGCCTTCGTGTCCGGAATTCCCCCAGCTCTGCAGGAGGTGGCTCTGGTGAGCAGGGTGGGCAAGGCTCCCAGGGGAATACCTAGAGTCGGCCCACTTCCCAGGCAGGTGCCTCACTGACCTCGGAAGAAGGTGCTGAAGTCGAAGATGGGGGTGTTGCAGTTGCGCTCCAGCAGCTGGGCTGGGCTGGAGGGGCTGGCAGAGCCCAAGGGACTGCCCACCTCCCAGTACACCTTGCACTTGCCCATGCGCCGGGCCCACAGTGCCAGTCCGCGCTGCTCCAGCTGCAGGCCAGGGGTCACATGCTGCAATAGCTTCTCCGTGTAGTGCAGCTGCTTCTGGTCAGGGAGCTCAGCAGGGCTAGGGAAGACCACCTGCTGGGGCTCCTCCGAGGCCCTGATGGCTGGGCCAGGGGGTCCATACAGGAACACACAGCTGGGCTGCCCCACCATTGCCTGCAGCACTGTGCGTCCCTTGTACATGATGGTCACATCCAGGGCACCTGGGCTGGGATCTGCATACACCAAGCTGTGAGCAACAGGTGTGTGCGGAACAGGCGGTACCCAGCCACCTCCCCCTGGGGTGCCCTGCTAGCAAAGGGTGCTGTCATAGGCTCGTGTCATAGGCTCTGCTGCATGCATGGGGGCCGTACCCTGGCCTGCATCTGGGAAGGGCTGAGTTGGTTCCTGTCCCCAACCCCCTTCCTCCCCATCCCCATCCCCACCGCAGGTTCTCGAGCTTCTCACCTGTCATAAGGGCCGTGTGTTGAGGCCTGGGGCTGGGGACAGCTTCCACTGCCCGTGCTGTATGAAGCGCCTCCAAAGGGCACTCTGGGCCTGAAGGTGACAGTGCAACACCCAAGTTGCCCAGCTGTGGTGGCTCTGTTTCTGCCGGACTTGCCCTTCGTGGTGCCCCAGCACCCCACATCCTCCTCAAGGGCCCACCCCAGGACACTGGGTCCCTTTCCCTCTCCCCAGGGTCTCTGCTGTCCTGTCTGCCCCCTTCCCTCAGTACAGCCCCTGCAGAACAGAATGGCCCCTGCTGTCCCTCACCAGAAGGCCCCGGAGGGGCTGGGTCTACCCGCCATGCAGCCTCCATCACGGGGTCCCCCAGGAGGCTGTGCTGAAGAACCTGGAGCAAGAGGTCCCCTGTGTCACCTGCTGTGATGGGCAGAGGGCTTGGGGCTTGCAGCTTAGTGTCTCCTGCCAGGAATGGTCCTAGGGGCCCACCCTGCAAGGGAAAGACAGTCTGGTGTAAGCAGCTCCCAGCCCCAACGACCAGGGGCAGAGATGGGCAGAGCCTGTACCTGTGTAGGCAGGACACCTTCAAGAGCCTCTTCTTCCCCCTGATAGACAGCTGGGCCTTCCGAAAGTGGGGGGCCAGTTGGACCTGGGGCTGGCATAAGACCTGGTTGTGAATGTCCCGAGTACCCCCAGGTCCCAGCACCCTGCTCCTTCCTTGCTGTTAACCTCTTCCCCTCAGTGACCTGGCACCTGGTGGCAAGGCCTGGGGCTTTAAAGCAGGACACCCCAACATGGGGCTGGAGGCCAAGATAAGGCGGAGCCCTCTACCCATCCACCCACCTTCCTGTCCAGCCTGGGGGGTTCCTTACCTCTCCTCTCCAGCTCAGGGTTGAGCGCGTACACCTTGTGTGGGTCCACAGGGTCCCCTGAGTTGTCTTGCAGCATCCGGAAGAGCCGGGTGCTGTGCAGTGCGCATCGGAAGTTGGTTTTCCAGCCCGCACGCTCTGCAGCCTCAGCCTCTGGGGGTGGCCTGTCGCCCCCGCCAGTGTTGGGTGGCCACCTGCCTCGGGCCACTGCCCAGGCCTGGGAAAAAGAAAACACAGGCCGAGGGGTGGAGCCTTGGGGTCCCAGACAGGTCCTCCGTGGGAGTGGGGCTGGGCCCCACCTTGAAGATGCGGGCGTCTGCCTCTCCTAGGTCCTTGCGAGCAAAGTGCTTCCAGGGCACCCGAAAGACCGTGTGGGCGTCGTCCAGCCACCGCAGCCCCTCGTAGCAGCCGCTGCTGACCTCACCCAGAAGCCACTCTCCAAACAGAACTCGCTGGACCCCCCTGCGGGTGGGGTGGCCACGCTTGGTCAGGGCCCAGCGCCAGGCCCAGGGATCACATGGGGAGGGAGGGCAGGCTGGCAGTTCTCACCTCTGAGGAACTACAGCCATTGTTCTTTATACACGGTCAGTCTGGGAGTCAGGGTGGCCCTCCACTGAGATTCTGGGCAGGGGCAGTGGCAGGTACTATCACAGGTGAGATACGGGTTCCTCGTGTGTCACTTGAGGTGTCAGAGTGTGGCCACAGTGTGGCCAAGGTGTCACAAGTGTGACCCAGGTGTGGAGAGTCACAGATGTGGATTGAGGGCTTCTCACCACCTCTGTTGCCCAAGTGTGGATTCCTGGGCCAAGGTGGAGATAGGTGTGACGACAGATGTGGCGAGAGCACACACACGTGAAGTCACAGATGTTAAGCCAGCGTCCAGGCCTGGCAGAGCTCACAGGCTGGACCCTGCAAAGACAAGATGGGAAAGCCCGTGTGGAAGGGCAGGGTCAGAGTCCAGGAAAGCGAAACTGAGCTTCGCGGGGAAACCGAAACCTAGAGGGCGGGGCGGCGGGTAGGCGCCCTCCCACGGCCGGCGGTCCACCGTCCACCGTCCACCGTCCCAGCCCCGTCCTCGGCCCGACCCCACTCCCCACCCCACCCCCGGTCTCACGGAGCCCCCTTCAGGCTCCCCAACCCTTGGTGCGGCCCCTTCCCGGCCGCTGCTGGTGGAGAGAACAAGGACTCCCACGTGGGTCGTAGCTCCCCTCTGTTCCGCGTGGGCCAGGGGTCCCGCATACCTGGGTGCCGGAGCCGCCGGGACGGGACGTTTCTCTCCCAGAGAGGACGCAGCCGTGCTTTTATTGTGCCCGGGCCGGGGCGGGCCGGGGGCGGGCCGGGCCTAAGCCCTGCAGGTGCATCGCGGGCGTCACATGCTCCCGTGGGAGGTTCCCGTGCCGCCGGGCCTGCCCAGCCCCTGCGCTGACTCGGGTCGGGGCGATCTCGCTCTGGGCAGCACCGCTGTAGTCCCCGCAGGGCGGCCCGAGCGCCTGGTCCGTCTCCGCCTGCCCTCCGGGCTCAGCCCCGGCGGCTCCCGCTGCTGCTTCCCAGGGAAGCAACCCTAGGCGCGGGTCAAACTAGGGTAAACCAGAGATCCCCAACATGGGTGCAAAATCAGACCCCAGACAAAAGTGGGGTTTTAGTTTTTTTTTGCATAAAACTAATGGGGTCTTAAGAGGGACTGCTGCTATTCCGACAGCCACTCTTGAAATGAGAGCTTTTGGAAAGGATTCACGATGACTTTTCATAAGGAAAAATGTCAGTGACCCACAGGGACAGTTTGACGGGCAGCTTGGAAAAACTCGGGCCTGGGGTGAGCCCTGGAAGTCAAGCCGGGGAGCTCTGTCCCCACCCGGTGGCCCGTACTCCCCTAATACCGGCTCCCCCACCCAAAGGTCCTTGGGCAGCAGACCCCGGCTGCTGGCTCCAGTCATCTTGGGACGCTCCAGCCGCCGCGCCGAACGTCTCAGTGCTGGCGCTGGGCCCTGTCCCTCCGCGCGGCGCCAAGGGGGTTCGCCCCCACCGCGGCCGACCTCATAGACTTCCGAAGGAGTCTGTTTCCCCTGCGAGGTCCCCAAGACGACCCTCTCCCAAGCAAGTCTTCCCGGGGATTTGCGCTGGCTCCTTCCAGCCCACCCCCACGGAGTCTCCGCTGGGGTCGTGAGGCGCGAGGTGGAGATCTCTGGTGCGCCCCCCGCCCCCCTGGACTGTGGTTAGACCAGGAGAGGAACTTCCTAGCTACCAGCCGTCCAGAAGGCCTCCGGAAGCCCGGCGGCGCGGGCGGGGCAGCAGCTGGTTTACGAGAAGCACCGCCCGCCGCTTCCACGTCCGCCTGGAGCCACTGGAAGGTGTGGCCAACCTCTCTGCACCAATTCTCCAACAGCCGCCCATCGCCTCGAATTCTGGGATTCGAAAGTGAAATTTTATTCTGCGAGAGAAGTGGGGCGGCGAGTGGACCCCGGGTCCAGGCCCGCTGCGGGCGAGCAGAGAGGTCTAGCTAGATGTAGGTGGAGTCGTCTTCGGGCGCGGGCGCGCCGCGGGGACCCCAGCCCTGGCCAGCGTCCTCTTCGCCGCTGTCCTCGCTGCCAGAGTCGCCCGCGCCGTCCGCGTCCGCGGTGGGTGCGTTAAGGACCACCACGTCGGCCTCAGCCCCAATGTCCTCGCCGAACCACACGGCCTTGTAGCCGCCCTCGGGGCGGCGCTCCTTGGTCAGGATGGATCTCACTGCTGAGGGGCTGTCCACAGCCCTGGCGGCCACCGGGGACTCAGGGGCACTGGCGAGGGGACCTGGGTCTCGGGACTCGGTGCTGGGAGGCTCAGGGGCAGGGGACCTGGGGCTGGGCGGCTCCGGTGGCACCTCCACAGACTTGGGCCCCGAACCGGGGCTAGGGGCAGGTGCCCAGTTGGCCTCCTGGTCCCCCAGAAAGGCCTGATTGTCAAAGCCGTGGGGCTGGGGCTCCTGTGGGCACAGCAAGGGTGTCAGTGGGACTCTGGTCCCTCCACTCTGCAGGCTTCTGCCCTTGCCCTGTTTTGTGACCCTGGCATGTACGCTTGCTGCTCCTTCACAGAGTCACTGAACCCTGGTCCCCTGCTGGTCCCCTGACAATCCCATTCCAACTCTCCCACCCCCTTATCTCCTCCATCTCTCTTATCCCCACCTCCACCTCAATCTCTACACCTTTCCACTATCTCCCCCTCCTTTCTTTCCCCCTTGAACCTTGGCTTGAACCCAAGGGTGCTTATCCGCTGAACCACACACCCAGCCCCCCTCCCTGCCCTTATTATTATTTTTTTTAACTGGATCCTGCTAAACTGTGGCTGAGGCTGGCTTTGAAGTTATTAGCCTCTTACCTAAGCTTCCCAAGTTGCTGCGATTACAGAAGAGCCAGAAGAGCGCCGGCACTCTACGTCCTGCCTTCTCTCTGCCCCCTCTCTGCCCCATGTTTCATCCCTCTGCACGTCTCCCTCCCTCCCCACCTCTCTCCTCTGCTCCTCTGTCTGTCTCTGTCACTGTCATCTACCCTGCTAGGCCCTGGCTCCCACAAGGGATCTCACCGCAGCTTTGCCAGAGCAGCAATTCAGTTGGTGACCATAGTGTTTGTGAATGAGGATGGCCAGGCCCAGGAGGGCCAGCAACAGCAGTGCACCCAGCACCCCTCCCAGCACTGCCATGTCCACTATGGAGAAGTGCTGGTCATCCTGTACTGGGACACTTCCTCCTGTGCTGCTTCCTGGCATCCCTGCAGAAGACATGGTCATCCACCGTGGCACACCTTGCCAGCCTGTGCCAGCCAGGAACCCTGAAAACAAGCCAGCCTTTGGCTGCCCCCTACCAGAGCTGTGGGTTCTGAGGGGCAGGTGCTCTTGGCCCCCCCCAGGGAGACGTTGTGAGCACACCAAGGCCCAGGGTCCCCCTAGGACAGGGTGTTCCAGGGAGGAACCAACTTGGGATACAACAGGATAAATGGCTACAGGGAATTCAGTCTCGGGTAGTCTCTGCATCCGTTTTGAATGTACGTTGGGCTTGGACCAGAAACAGTGTTCAGTTGCTCCCCACTCCGTTTCCAGTTCCATAGCCCCCCCGGTATTTGCCTTGTGCCACTGTCTCTGGGAATCTGGGAGGAGGCTGGCTCCCTGTGCTGGCTCCCTGCTCACTGCACAGATATGTCCTGAGACCACTGGAGACCTCTGGAACTTGATTCTGCTTGCTCTAAACCCACCAAGACTCCTTAGTACAGGGCTAGCACACAGGTCCCCTGGGCCACAAACTCCTGTGTGGCCTCAGGTGTACCAGTACCCCAAGCCGTGTGATAGTGTGATACAATCAGTGTTTTTTGTTGTTGTTGTTTGTTTTGTTTTTAAGTCAGGGCTCACTATGTTGCCCAGGTTGGCCTCAAAATCCTGGGCTCAAGAAATCCTGCCTCAGCTTCTAGCATAGCCACAAACCTGATGCAGCTGTCCAGTCTGAATTTCAGTTCCATATCTCTCCTGATCATTGAAGGGGCGCTCTGTCTTAAGATCCTAAATCACCAACGGCCTTGGCAACTCAGCTCGCTGGATCTCGAATCTGCCCCCTGCCCTGCACCCCACACCTTCCTAGTGCAGCTTTGGGGGCTCCTGGGCTGACTGTTGTCACCAGACAGACCCCTGGCTGGGACTCTGTCCTAGAGGCGACCCTGGACCACCCAGGTTCTGAGCAAGGACAAGTGGGGTGGGGACTACCTGAGGGTGGGGGGCTCCTGCTGGGCCCAGGGACCGTGGGCCGAGAGGTCCCAGGCTTCTGGGTCTGTGCTGAGCCCCCACCAGGCGTGGCGGGTCGTGTCGGGCCTGCTCCCACATCGGGGGTGGTCGTTGGTTTTGAGGTCTGTGCTGAGCCCCCACCGGGCGTGGCTGGTTGAGGGGAGGTACCTGCTCCTGTACCCGGAGCCGTGGGCCCAGAGGTCCCAGGCTTCTGGGTCTGTGCTGAGCCCCCACCGGGCGTGGCTGGTCGGGTTGAGGTGCCCACTCCCAGGCTGGGGGGTCCCCCGGGTGTGGGTGAGGTAGGTGGCCTCAGAGTTGTGCCTAGGGGTGGATGAGGGCCACTGCCACCCTCAGAGCTGGTTGTTGAGGGTCCCTGAGAGGTCCCAGGGGGCCTGGGGGCTTCCGAAGTGGTGCTGCTCCAGGGCCCAGTTGTTCTTCCGGTCTCTGGGGATGTGGGGGGCTCTGGGGAGCCTAGGGAGCCAGGGACAGTGCCAGACTTGCCTCTGCACCCAGCACACCTGCCCAGGGTAGGAGCCATCCTGAAGGGGGCCCCCCAGAGGCTTACCTGTGGAGGGGGGCTCCGGCTCTGAAACACGAATCTCAACCACAGTGGTGGCTACACCCGCAGTCACAGTGTTCTTGGCCTCCACCTGGGGTGGGAAGGGGGGCTTGTCCCTGCAGAGCCCCTCTGCAGTCCCCCACCCTCAGACACACTTCCCTACCTCTGCGTAGAAGACCCCTGCTTGCTCTATTGCCGTGGCAGTCAGCACCATCTCTCCAGCCATCCGGAACTCGGAGCAGTTGGTGATTTGATAGGTAATGGCCGAGTTCAAGTCCTGGGTGTGGCTGCAGTGAGTCCTGGGCCTGGGCTGCCCCCACTCTTCACCCCAAGCCCACCCACACGGGGGCGAGCAGACCCTGGGACCCGGCAAGGTTACGAGGCTCCTGGAGGGGCAGGAGGGGGCCGCCTACCGGGAACTCAGGGTCCTGAGCCCAGATCCTCAGAGGCTGAGAGGGGGAGGCGGCATCCTGGACAGCCACACCAGACCCAGAGCCAGGGGCCACGGTGCCTCGGTACAGGCTCTGGGAGAAGTGGGGCTGGCTCCCGTTGGCCTGGCGGGCCTCCACAGTGACCTGGGTCACCGAGTAACGGGCCCCATCAGCCTGTTCACCCTGGGAAAGGAGAGGCAGTAGTGGCCAGCAGGCCCGTGAAAGTGCAGCTGACGTCCTGCTGCCCCGTGCTGGCACCCACCTTGACCAGTAGCAGGAATGTCGTGGGGCTGGGGACACTCTTGGTCATGGTGAGGTTGCCAGAGTCTGGGTCGATGGCAAATGTGTTGTCCTTGTTTCCTGAGAGGATGTGGGGCAGAACTTAGACCCTGGTCCCCTCCCTAAGGTCCAGGATCCTGGCTGGTTCAGCCTGAGTCCAAGGCAGGGGTCTGTGGTGCCGTGGGCGGGGGCAGGTCTTTTCTCACCCCCTATAATGCTGTAGATGACCCGCTCGTTGATGCCTCGATCTCCGTCCACAGCATAGATGGGCCCCGGACGCAGGATGAGGGGGGACAGCTGTGGGGGTGGGGGTCATCGTGGGGCTGGTGCAGATGGCCCCAGTCGGCCCTTCCCCTGCTCCTCAGGGTCTGAAACACAGGCTTGGAGCACAGTGGGGAGAGGAGAAGGGCCGGGCAGTGCCTGTCTCGGTCAGGGCAGCTACAGGCGAACTCAGGCACCTCGTGGGTCGGGATGCACAGTGTGATCAGGCCTGCCCCTGGGGAGGGGCTTTGCTCAGCTGTCCTTCAGGCGGTCCTCCTGGCCCCTCCGCCCCACCTCTGGCTGACCTCACCGGGCAGGGCTGCCCACGCTGCCCAAGGCTGGGTGGGCGGTTTGGGAGAAGAGGCTCATTCACAGCTATTCCAAGATGGTGACTGAAGTCGGCCCACCGCCCCTTGAGAGCCCAGGCCCCAGCCTGCTCCCGCCCTGAGCCTCCCAGACCCCACTCTGCACTCAAGCCTGTCCCTGCCTGCGGGGCCCCCATTACCAGTGTGTGTCCTGTGGGGATGGCCCCCTGGTACTGAGCCTGGATGCAGACGGCGCCATCTGAGTAGGAGCAGGGCAAGAACCAGGGTGGCCGCAGGTCAGCCGGCAGCACCTTCAGGACCAGGGTGGCCGTGGCTGTGTGGCTGGGCTCCCGGTGCTCCTCCCTCGTGTCCTGTAACAGCTCTGCTGTGTCAGGTAGGGGACCTCCAACAGGGCCGGCCTGAGCATCCAGTACGCAGCTGGGGGAACCACTCACCCGCACCAGCAGCCGGAAGGTCATGTTCTGCCACTTGTAGAAGTCCAGGGCCCGGTCCAGCCTCAGGGCAGGGCGGTTCACCCCCAAAAGGGAGAAGAAGCTGCCAGCGCCCTGGGGAGAGGGAGCCACAGCTGAGCCCCTGGGGGATCAAGGAGCACTGGCTCAGAAGCCAAGGGCCAGTGTTGGGCAGGGCAGGGGTACCACTGACCGGGCTCACTTCCTGTAGCGTGTAGAACAAGGTGCTGTCCTTGTCACGGTCCGTGGCCTGTAGTTCTGCCTCAGGGATGACCGTAGAGTTCACTTTGGTGTCCTGGGGGCAGAGAGCAGTCGACCCAGACACAGGCGTGGCCTCTGTGGACCAGTCCCATGGAGGAGCCCCTAGCCACCAGCCCTCTGGGCCCACATCCGCCCAGTGCCCAGCCCAGGCAGTGCCAGCTCTGGCTCCGCCCGACTCACCTCCTGCACGTCCTGCTCCTTGGTGGTGAAGGGGAACTCTGGGGCGTTGTCGTTGACATCCAGCACCACCACAAACACCCTCAGCTGCGTCACCTAGGGGTCGACAGCCTTGGCCACAGCCCTCCCGGCTGCCTGCCTTCCCTCCTGCCTCATTCCTGTCCATCCACCCGGGTGGTCGTCCATTCGCCCACTTGCCCTTCTGCTGGTCTGTTTGAAGGTGACGGTGACCCAGCACGGCAGGGCCCATCACAAGGGACAAGACTCAGCCCCGGGGCTCCCATCCTGGCTGCACTTACAGACCACAGAGGTAGGTTACCAAGGTGGCCAGAGGTGGCCAGCACTCCAAGGACAGATAAGTGGCCCGAGGAGGCTACCAGCAGAACCTCCAAAGAGGACACTGGGGGCTGGGGCTGGGGCTGGGAGGTGGAGCCCTCGCCTCGCCCGCGTGAGGCTCTGGGTTCCATCCTCAGCACCACATGAATATAAGATAAAGACATTGTGTCCACCTTTAACTAAAAAATAAACATAGATAGATAAAAAGAGGACACGTGTTAGATGTCATGTTTCCTCAAGAATAACAGAGCAGGGAGAGGGACCTTCAGAGTGGAAGGCACCTGCAGGGAGCTCCGCCAGCCCCTGGGTTGGACTTTGCTCCAATTCAAACAAGCCGAGGCCGACTCTCAGAGGCCCAGGACAGGTGGACACACCAGGGCTTAGATGGCGAGAGGAACCGCCCTTCTCAGGTGGGCAGGGCAGGAGGATGTGTCTTGTTTTCTTTGTGGTGCTGGAGATGGAACCCAGGTCCCCTCACACAGGAGGCAAAGGCAAGCTCTCTGCCACTGAGCTGTGATTAAAATGAAGGGTCCCGACCTATTTTTTAAAAGTTTTTTTTAAATATATATGTTTTCGTTGTAGATGGACACCAGACCTTATTTTATCTGTTGATTTTTATGTGGTGCTGAGGATGGAGCCCAGTGCCTCACCCCTGCTAGGCCAGTGCTCTGCCACTGAGCCAGCCGCAGCCCCAGGTGCCCACCTATTAGAGACGCCTGCTGAGATACTGTGGGGGACTGCGGTGGTGTGGCCTGGCGCAGGGCAGGGGCTGCTCACAGTGGAGCTGGGGTGGGGCGGCGCCCGTGGTTTTCCAGCTTGTGTTTCCTAATAAAAGGGCGTCTGGGGCGTGGGATGTGGGAGGAGGGCTGCCGCTACAGCACAGCAGGGTGGACGGAGTCCACCAAAGAGGAAAGGTTTCCCTGCACACCTGAGCAGGTGAGGGGACGGGCGCCCCAGGCCAGGGCCACACCCCCAACCTTGCCCACCACAGCAGCTCGTGGGGCTTGGACTCCAAGGGCGCAGGCAGATGTGGAAGTGCTGTGCTGTGCGGGGCTGGGTCTGCTAGGCTCTCCTGAGACCTCCCACCCCGAGAGGGGATGGATGGACCAGGGGCAAGAGAGGACAGGGATCAGTAGGAAGGTTCCAGAAAGGGGAAGCTGGTGGCCGAGGCCCTGGTGGGATGTGGAGGTAGGAAGGGGGGGTTCTGGGGCTGCCTGAGGTGGAGCCCACATTTGCTCTTGAGGGCGGGCTAGAGAGAAGGAAGCCTGGTGGAGCAATCAGCAGGCCAGGGTGCCTCCAGGTGCTGGGGCGAGGGGGTCAGGGGAGTCTCAGGAGTTTGTTGGGCCGATGTCCGTGACAGTGGGTCCACAGCTGGGTTTGTGAGTCTGAAACTCAGGGCAGAGTCTGGGCTGGAGGAAGCGAGGGCGTAGCCGGGGAGGGCTGGTGTTTGAAAACACTCCCTGGGTGAGGTCACAGAGGAGGGACCAAGGGCCAGGGGGACAGGGTGCACTCACCACGGTGTCCCCCCTCTTGCACTCCAGGTGTGCTTCTAGCATCGTATTCTCCTGTGGAGGCAAGTCGGTCTTGCAAATCACCTGCATGGTGGTGGCACACATCCCCACTCCACAGGCTGGGAGCCCGAGGCTGAGGGCAGACACTGGCCCAGGTCGTCATTGGTGGTAAGTCAGGGGAGGAGGAGGAGGCACTAGGCAGCTTTGCTCCCTAATGGACGAGGCCCAGCCAAGGATGGGGCCTGAAGGGTCAGTCAATGCCTGGGGGAGGCAGAGCCCTTGCCACCCCCATGTCTTCTCCAGGGAGGCTGTGTGTACCCGCAGGGGACCCTGGAAACACCCCACCCAGGCTACTGCCTGCACCTCATAATCAGGAATCACGCTGAGAAAGAGCTGGTTTCCTAGGATCCGAAATGCGGACGGGGTGGACGAGGATCCGAGGGTCACCTGCTGGCCTTCTGGGACGGAGATGTTCACCAGGGCTTCCGTGATATTTGCGTTCTCCTGCACTTGGAGGAAGGTCTTGTCCACAGAGCAGACTGGGAAGTTGGAGAGGACAGGTCAGTGCCTCCCAGCCCGCACCCCACCGCCCCCCGCACCTCCAGCATGTACCCTGAGTCTGGGCTGTGGCTCCCGGGGAATGGCCAAGCAGCACTGTGAGCAGCACCAGCAGCAGGGGAGGCCATCGCAGGGCCTGAGCCCCCATCTTGGCGGCTGTCATCTGACGGGAGGGTCCAGCTCTCTGGAGTCCGGGCTGGTACAGTTCCTGCCTCAGCGACCTTCGCCCCTGCCAAGCGCCGCCCCACTTTATGACCCTTTACCACAGGCTTCCACCAAGGGGACTCCCGCTGGCCGGCCAGACGCAGGGCACCAGCAGGAGGAGGATGTGGAGTGGTCATTCAGCCTGATCTGGGCCACATTCAGGCATCCACTGGGAATGAGAACCACTGATTCCAAACACAGGGCATAGAGGAGCTTGCAAGCTGCCTGGGGGGCATGCACCTGGGGCTGCGGGCGCAGAGCTGGGGGGCATGGACCTGGGGCTGCGGGTGCAGAGCTGGGGGGCATGGACCTGGGGCTGCGGGTGCAGAGCTGGGGGGCAGGGCTGGAGCAGGGCCATGGGGACAGAGCTGGGGGGCATGGACCTGGGGCTGCGGGTGCAGAGCTGGGGAGCAGGGCTGGAGCAGGGCTGTGGGCACAGAGCTGGGGGGCATGGACCCGGGGCTGTGGGCACAGAGCTGGGGGGGCATGGACCTGGGGCTGAGGGTGCAGATCTGGGGGGCAGGGCTGGAGCACAGCTGAGGCGGCTACTGAAGCTAGGGGTGGGCACAGGTGGGGAAGGGACTCGCCAGGCTTGGGTTGCTCTACCCAACCCCTGATCAAGGCTGTCCCGCTAGGCTCCGCCACTGGAATTTTATTAAGGCCAAATTCTGGCGGCCACTCCTTGGGGCTCAGACCCAGTGTCCCTTCCAGGTCCTTGGCCATCCCTGCACCAGTCCTGCAGGAAAAGCCCCTTGTCCCGCAGCACCCCTGCCTGCCTCAGGGACTAGTTAGCTCCCAGGGGACTGGCAGGGCCCAGTGAAGGGTTTCAGGGACCACTGTGCCCTCCGGGGGGCCCTGGTAACCGACAGAGCAGAGTCCTGGTGAGGCTCCTCAGCCCAGACCTCCACCTACCCTGCCCCTTCCTTTCTTTGGCCCCCAAATCCCTCAGAGCTGGGAGAGGCACTGGGTCTGAGTAAGGGGAGGCTGTGGGGCACCACACGCATGAGTGGCCTTCCTGAGACTCCTGATCTCTCTTCACTGGGCAGTCCCACCTCAGGCCCCACCCCCCCTCCGGTGCACCCACATGCTGCTGCAGCCCACCCCTTGGGGGTGACACCACTGTCCCTTGCTGCACAGGCCCTGCTGAGGTCACACCACCACTTGGCCTGGACATGTGTCACCAGGATATCCTCCCCAGTCCTGCTGCTCCAGGGGACTCCAGGCATCCTGGGTGGCCCCCTTCCTTCCTGCCCCACCTGAGCGTCTGTTCCCCTCCCTTCACACTGACCCACATGGCCCTGAGACAGCAGCCCCCTGAACACTGCACGTTCACTAAGTGGGTTACAAAGTGGGGGGAGCGGAGCTGGAAGTTCAGCCAGTGGACAGGAGGTGGCCCTGAGGACAGCGATAAGGGCGAGTGCCTGATGGTCACCCAGGTTTAAAGGGCAGCTGGGTGTGGTCACCTGTAGCCCTGGAGCAGGAGGATAGGGCCCTCCTTCCTCCTGGCAGCCTGATGTGCAGGGGCTGCCCTGGTGTAAGGAGATATGCACAGTGGGCTCCTGAGGCGGGTGTGAGTTCTTCCTTTATTAGTGCCAAGTACAGCCCCTCCCCGCCCCAGGGTCCTCTCTGGTCCTCCTCTGTCCTCATCTGGCCCACTGGGTGGTTTCAGCCGCCTCTGGAACTGTGACCAGGCCTAGCCACACTAGGCAGCCAGGGAGACCAGACCTGATGCAGAGGGGCTCTCGGCGGTATCCTGCAGAGACATGAAGCCGAGGGCTGGGATGGCAGCTGGAGACCACTGCCTGGCCAGCAGCAGCCCTGAGGTTGCGGGGGACGGGAGAAAGGGCTGGCAGGATGTGGGTGAAGGCCGCGGGTGCTCACCAGGCCTGCAGGGCTGGCTCGTCTGACCACAGCAGGCACAGCTGGCCCTCAGTGGGTTTAAACCAGGAGGTGCGGTTCTCGGTGTCCGGCTCGCTGTTCCACCCCAAATCAAAATTAGTCCTGGAGCCGGGGCACCGGGCCTGTCCCGCCGCAGGGCCCCTGCCCAGACTGCTCTCCCGCCCTCACCTGCCGGCTCACCTGCGCTTCCCCACCAGGCCCTGCAGCAGCCGCTGCAACCGCGCGCTGTCCCGCAGGCGGCTGAGCTCACTGGTGAACGTCCCGTCCGAGTGTCGCGGAGCCCTGGGGAGAGGCGGGGTCAGACGGCGTGGGCAGCGCCGGGCGGGAGGGGCGCGGACGCGGGCTCACCTGGGGGCCGCGGGGCGCGCGGTGGAGCCCACCAGCAGCAGCAGCAGCAGCAGCAGCAGCGACGGCGGCAGTGGCCAGGGAGCCATGGCGCAGCGGGCGGTGCTGGGCGCTCTTGCAGCCCCGGCCCCAGTCCGCGCGGCCCTTTATAGCGGTCCCGGAGCGGGAGGGTGGGCCGGTTGGGGGCGCCCAGCACCGCCCCGGCTCCGAGCCATCGATCTCCAGAAGGTCAAGGCCGCCCCCCAGCTGTCGCCCGGGACTCCTCCCGCCCCCAGCGCCAAGTCGGCGCCCCTGGGCTGGGCAGCAGGGAGTAGACCAGCTGGATGGCGGGTGCCACGGGGCCGGCACTGCCATCCCCTGGGGCTCCCGAGCGAGGAGGGACATCCCGGCCGCGGGCGCATTCGGGACCGGCGTAGGTCACAGCACGTGTGAAGCCCTGGGGCCTCGGGACCGTGGAGCAGAACCCAAGTGAGCCTCTCCCTAAGGCCCTGGACTGCTCTGCGGTGGTTGGCGGCTGGAAGTGGGCGCAGGTGCCTCGGAGGTGGGCGGGGTAGGAGAGAGGTGGACAGCTGGAGGGGCCTGCCGCAGCTGCCTGCAGAGACAGGGCAGCAGGACCGCGCAGAGAACAGGCCCACCGACCTTCTCTGGACCCCGGGGAGCGCCGTGGGCAGATCAGAGCTTTGTGGTCACCGTGGTTTTCTTTTTCCAGGAAGGAAAGAGCAACTTCCCCCTCCACGCTGGCGGCAGGAAGCAGAGACCAGCGGCCGGAGGAGAAGGTGCTCCCATGGATGCCTTCCAAACCTGCTCTTGGCCCGGCAGGGTCACCACAGTTGTCATCCCAGCCACTCGGGAGCCCAGGCTGGAGGATCACCAGCTTAAAGCCAGTCTTGGCCCCTTAGTGAGACCCCATCCCAAAATGATACTGTTTGTAAGGGGCTGGGGTGTGGCTCAGTGGTAGAGTGCCTGCCTCCCACGTGAGGCAATGGGTTCGATCCTCAGCACCACAAAAAAATAAATAAAGATATGGTGTCCATCTACAACTAAAAAAAAAAAAATAAAAATAAAGTACATTCATGAGAACATTGCAAATCCCAAATATCAACTTGATCTGTGAGATTTCTCAGCATCTGCAATCACTTAAGTAATCAGGCAGATCTTCACTAGGAAAATCTATTTTTAAAAAATTAACATAAAGTGGGGCTGGGTTGTAGCTCAGTGGTAGAGTGCTTGCCTCGCAGCCCCCCAGCCCCTGGTTATCACCTCTGCCTCTGTCTCTGTGAATGGTGACTGTAGAGACCCACGGGAGTGGGATCACTCAAATCTGCATAACATTCCATTGCATGGGTATTGGTGTTTGTCCATCCCCCATCTGTTGATGGACATCAGGCTGCTTCCACCTTTGACATTGTGAATGTGGGGGTGCAGACAGCTCTTTAAAGCTTGGGTTTTTTTTGGGGGAAGGGTGCTGGGGATTGAACCAGGGCCTTGTACATACTAGGCAAGTACTCTACTGACTGAGCTATATCCCCAGCCCTAGAGCCTGTTTTTAATTCTTTGGGGAATATGGTTAGGAGTGGGTTGCTGGGTCATATTTGATTTTTCTTTCCTTCCTTCCTTCCTTCCTTCCTTCCTTCCTTCCTTCCTTTCTTTACCAGGGATTGAACCCAGGGACACTTAACCACTGAGCCTCAACCCTAGTTCTACTTTTTATTTTGAAACGGGTTCTCATTAAGTTGTTTAGTGCCTTGCTAAATTGCGGAGACTGGCTTTTTTTTCTTCTTCTTTTTGTTTTTAGTTGTAGATGGACAGCATGCCTTCATTTTATTTGTTTGTTTGTTTATTTATTTTTTAGTTTTAGGTGGACACACTATCTTTATTTTATTTTTATTTTTAAGTGGTTATTGAGGATCGAACCCAGCGCCCCGCGCATGCCAGGTGAGCGCGCTGAGGCACATCCCCAGCCCTGTTTATTTCTATGTGGTGCTGAGGATGGAACCCAGTGCCTCACACGTGCGAGGCGAGCGCTCTGCCACTCAGCCCCAGCCCCAGACCCCCCACCCCCCACAAGCATTTTTGTTTGTTTTTTTGAGATGGGGTCCTACTAAGGTGCCTGGCTGGCCTGGAACTTGGGACCCTCTTGTCTTGGTCTCCAGAGTTGCTGGAACCCCAGGTGTCCTCGGTGTGGCCCCCACACCTGGCTGAGGTCAGGCATGTTCTCAGGTGCTTCCTTTTGTTCTTAGTTGTTGATAGACCTTTATTTTATTTATTTATATGTGGTACTGAGAATCGAACCCAGTGCCTCACACACGCCAGGCAAGTGCACTACCACTGAGCCCCAGCCGCAGTGCCTCGGGTGCTTCTTGCTATTTCATTTCATTCTTTATCTGTCCAGACCGTTGTTGTTGTTGTTGTTGTTGTTGTTTTGTGGAGCTGGGAATGGAAGCTAGGGCTCCATGCATGCTGGGCCAGCGTCTGCTCTGAGCTACGTCTTCACTTTGAAGCCGAATTGCCTCTCTGTGGTTGAGTTGTACGAGCTCTTCACACATGCTGGGTACCGTACTCTCTGAGCTACGCGATTAAAGAGTATTTCCTCCCATTCTCTGGGTCCTGTTTTCTTTCTTTTTTTTTTTTAAAGAGAGAGTGAGAGAGGAGAGAGAGAGAAGTTTTAATATTTATTTTTAGTTATCGGCGGACACAACATCTTTGTTTGTGTGTGGTGCTGAGGATGGAACCCGGGCTGCACGCATGCAGGCGAGCGCGCTACCGCTTGAGCCACATGCCCAGCCCCTGGGTCCTGTTTTCAATCTCTTCGGAATATCTTATTCTTTAGGGTAGAGATGAGGGGCACTGCATTGTCCAGGCAGACTCGGAACCCCTGGGCTGAAGCACCCTCCTGCCTGGCCTCCCTAGTAGCTGAGGCTGAGGGGTGCGCCCCCACCTGGCTGGCTCTGGCTGACAGCATCTCTGAGGTACCACAGATTGTCACGTCCTGTGACACCCTGTGGCCCCGCTGCCGCTGCTGTTCCTGCACTGTGCTTCCGGTTGTTCCAGGACCGTGAAACCTGCCTCATGTTTCAGACCTCATCTTTGCATCCATGACCCTTTTGAGTGTACGGTGTGACTCAGGGTCCAGCTGCACTCTTCTACGGGTGGACGGACGTCTGTCTAGCTGTTCCACTCCACTAGTGGAGGAGAGTCTTCCCTGAGCATGTTGAAAATCAGTTAACTGTGATGTCTGAGTTTATATCTGGACTCTCAATGCTCTTTTACTGAGCTATAAATTATCCTTAAGCCAGATTCAGTCTCTTAATTCCTGATGTTTTGTTCTAAGTTTTATTTATTTATTTATTTATTTAGGTACTGGGGATTGATTGAACTCAGGGGCACTTGGCCACTGAGCCACATCCCCAGCCCTATTTTGTATTTTATTTAGAGACAGGGTCTCACTGAGTTGCTTAGTGCCTCGCAGTTGCTGAGGCTGGCTTTGAACTTGAGATCCTCCTGTCTCAGCCTCTCAAGCTGCTGGGATTATAGGCGTGCACCACTGAGCCTGGTGCTTAAAATTTTGAAACTGAAAATTTGAAAAAGATTTTGGTTTTCTTTTCCAAGATTGCTTTGGTTTCTGAGGCAGGAGGATCTCAAGGCCAACCTCAGCAACTTACTGAGACACTGTTTCAAAATAAAGGGGGACACTAGGGGTATGTCTCAGTAGTTAAACACCCCTGTATTCCATCTAGGCACGGTGGGGCATGCCTGTAATCTCAGCAGTTCCAGAGGCTGAGGCAGGAAGATCATGAGTTCAAAGCCAGCCTCAGCAACTGCGAGGCACTAAGCAACTCAGCGAGACCCTATCTCTAAATGCAAAATAGGGATGGGGATGTGGCTCAGTGGTAAAGTGCCCCTGAGTTCAATCCCTACTCCACCCTGCTAAAAAAGATTACTTTGGTTATTTGGAGTTCCTTACATTTCTACATGAATTTTAGAATTGGCCTTTCCATTTTCATAAAAATAAAGCTTGTTGAGATTTAAAAAGAATATTTTAGTTGTAGATGGACACAGTACCTTTATTTATTTAGTTAGTTAGTTATTTAATGTGGTGCAAAGATTTAACCCAGTGCCTCACCTGTGCTAGATGAGTGCTCTACCACTGAGCCCCAGCCCAGCCCTGTTGAGATGTTGTTAGTAAATCAGTTCTGTAGATCCACTTGGCATGGCAATAAGCCACACATACACCATCTGCTTTTATTACCACTGAGCTACTCCCCCAGCCTTTTTATTTTGGGACAGGGCCTCATTAATATGCTTAGTCTGACCTTGAACCTGTGACCCTCCTGCCTCAGCCTCTGAGTCCCTGGGATTATAGGCATGGACCACAGTGCCCTGCTAGCAACAAGTCGTTCTGACAACCTGTCCCCATCTACGAACACTGGATCCACTTGTGCAGGTCCTCAACTCCTCTCACCAACAGTTTTCAGTGTATAGGTATTTCACTCTCTTGGTTAAATTGATTCCTAGATATTTTATCTTTTTTTTTTTTTCCCCAGTACTGGGAATGGAAACCAGGAGCGCTTTACCACTAAACCACATCTCCAGTCCTTTTTGAAACTTTGAGACAGAGTCTTCTGCCTCAGCCTTCTGAGTCACTGGGAGTCACAATTGCCAGTCATCCTTCCTGGAAATTTTATTTTATTTTTTATGCTATTACAAATGGGATAATTTCCTCATTTAATTCTCAGACTATTTGCTATCATATAGAAATAGAACTGATTTTGGCCTGGGGGTGTAGCTCAGTGGTACAGTGCTTGCCTAAGCATGTGTAAGACCCTGTGTTTCCCTAGCACTACAAAAAAAGAAAAAGAAAAAAAAAAGAAATACAACTAATTTTATGTTCACTTTATTTTTTATTTTTATTTATTAAAAAAATTTTAGTTGTAGTCGGACACAATACCTTCATTTTATTTATTTTTATGTGGTGCTGAGGATCGAACCCAGGGCCTCACACATGCCAGGCAAGTGCTCCACCACTGAGCCACAACCCGAGCTCCATACTTTATTTATTTATTTTTTATTTAATTGTTGATAGATCTTTCTTTCTTTCTTTCTTTCTTTATATGTGGTGCTGAAGATTGAACCCAGTGCTTCACACATGTCAAGCAAGTGCGGTACTGCTGAGCCACAGCCCTAGCCCCCATACTTTATTTTTTTAAAAATATTTATTTTTGGGCTTGGGTTGTGGCTCAGTGGTAGAGCACTCGCCTCGCATGTGCAAGACCCTGGGTTCGAATCTCAGCACCACGTAAAAATAAATGAGTGAAATAAAGGTATTGTGTCCAACTACAACTAAAAAAATAAACGTTTTAAAAAAATATTTATTTTTTAGTTGCAGTTGGACACAATACCTTTATTTTACTTATTTATTTTTATGTGGTGCTGAGGATCGAACCCAGGACCTTGCACGTACTAGGCAGGCACCCTACCGCTGAGCCACAACCCCAGCCCTTATGTTTACTATATATCCTTCAACTTTACTGAATTTTTTTAAAATATTCTTTTCAGTTGTAGATGGACACAATACCTTTTATATCATTTTTTTGTGTGTGGTGTTAAGGATCAAACCCAGTGCCTCACACACACTAGGCAAACCCTCCACCACCGAGTGGCAACTCCAGCCCCCAATTTTGCTGAATTATCAACTCTAACTTTCATAAGATTTCCTATGCATGAGATCAGTCTGCACATTGAAATAGGCTTGGTCCTTCCTCTTCATTGTTGGGCGTCTATCACTTGTTCTTCCTGTCTACCAGACAGTGTTCTAGCAGAAGCTACAAGCTGCAAGTCCCCGTACCTGGGGAGCCACACTCACTGCTGCAGGGAGCATGCCCCGGTTGGGCTGTTGCAGGTCTCCTGTTGGGGACACATCTTTCTACCCCTGGTTCACTGAATCATTTTTGTCTCCAGGTTGTTCTGTAACAAACCAAGGCCTCATGCATGCCAGGTGAGCACTCTACTGATGAGCCAGACCCCAGCTCCTAATGAAATCATGAAAGGGCACTGAATTATGTCAACTGCTTTTTCTGCACCAAGTGAGACAATCACCTGGTTTTCTTCCTTCTCTTATTGTGATATATTGCATTGATTTTCTTTTTTAAAAATATTTATTTTTTAGTTGTAGTTGACACAATACCTTTATTTTATTCGTATATTTTTAAGTGGTGCTGAGGATCAAACCCAGGGTCTCGCATGTGCAAGGCGAATGCTCTACCGCTGAGCCCAGCCCCAGTCCCCATTGATTGAGTTTCATCTCCTGAATCACACTTGTCTTCCTGAGTGAGCTCCCCTGCATCAGGACATGTGATCCTTTAAAACATGCTGCTGGGTTCTGGTCAGCTTCCATTTCACTGGGATTTCTGCATCTAGATTCCAAGGGGAGATTATTCTGAAATTTTCCTTCTCCCAACATCATTGAATTTTGAGACTTCTTTATATGTTTTATAAAGACCTCATATTATTCTTACTCTACTTGCATATGTGTATTCACATATACACAAGACATTGGATAATATTTCACTAATATTCTTTTCTACTCTGTGGCTACAAGTTTTGTTTTTTTTTTTTGTGGAACTGGGGATGGAATGTAGAGGTGCTGTACCACTGAGCTACACCACACCACCAGCCCTTTCTTTCTTTTAAGATGCGGTCTTTCTAAATTGCCCAGGCTGACCTTGAACTTGCCATCCTCCTGCCTCAGACTCCCACAGAGTCAGGATCACAGGTGTGTCCCTTTGCACCTGGCTGTTCTTAGTCTTGACAGTCCCGTTCTTCTGTGTTTCCATTTGTGGATCCATGCTGGTGGTGTCAGATTTCAAAATTCCTTGTCTAATCCCAGGTTGAAATATTTTTTCCCACATTTTCTCCATGATTTTTATAGTTTTTTGGCATTTAAATTGGAGTTACTTTTGTTTACTTGTTTTCTTTTGGTACTGGACCAAGGGGTACTCTACTACTGAGCTACATCTCTAGCCCTTTTTATTTTTTATTTAGAGACAGGGTCTCACTAAGGTGCTTAGGGCCTTGCTAAATTGTTTAGAGGCTAGCCTTGAACTTGCAATTCTCTTGCCTCAGCCTCCCCAGTAGGGGGATTACAGTTAATTAGTTTTTATATAAAAAGTGAGGTCTGACTTCGCTGTGAAGATGGCGTCGGGCAGCGGGACAAAAAACTTGGACTTTCGCCGAAAGTGGGACAAAGATGAATACGAGAAGCTCGCCGAGAAGAGGCTCACGGAAGAGAGAGAAAAGAAGGATGGAAAACCAGTGCAGCCAGTCAAACGGGAACTTCTGCGGCATAGGGACTACAAAGTGGACTTGGAATCTAAGCTTGGGAAGACAATTGTCATTACCAAGACCACCCCACAGTCTGAGATGGGAGGATATTACTGCAATGTCTGTGACTGTGTGGTGAAAGACTCTATCAACTTCCTGGATCACATTAATGGAAAGAAACATCAGCGAAACCTAGGTATGTCTATGCGTGTGGAACGTTCCACCCTGGATCAGGTGAAGAAACGTTTTGAAGTCAACAAGAAAAAGATGGAAGAGAAGCAGAAAGATTATGATTTTGAAGAAAGGATGAAAGAGCTCAGAGAAGAGGAGGAAAAGGCTAAAGCATATAAGAAAGAGAAACAGAAGGAGAAGAAGAGGAGGGCCGAGGAAGACTTGACATTTGAAGAAGATGATGAGATGGCAGCTGTGATGGGCTTCTCTGGCTTTGGTTCCACCAAGAAGAGTTACTGAGGCTTTCTATGCTTGGCCTAACTTTGGCCTATGCTGGACCTAACTTTGTGTGTGTGTTAGGGGGATCATTTCTTTTTGGGTACTGGGGAAAGTCCTTAAGAGTGTCTGTGGGCAGGGCTAAAGGGTGGGTGTTTGTGGCTTCCCTCTACTGTGGGAGAGGACACAGGATGCAGAGGTAATGCTGTGGCAAATTCCTTTAGCTTCCAGTATATCACTGGAGTCACAAGACCTCTGCCCATCTGAGTTCCCAATAAAGAAAGGCCTCCCCTTCTGAGACTGCTTTCCCAAAACTCCCTCTGCATCTTTCCCTCTTCATCTATCTAACCTCTTGTCTGAGCATCCTACCTTTATCCTGTGTTCTGCCTTTGTTTTATTTTTTGACTTGTTCAGCTTGCACCAGAAGGATTCTCTGGGTCCCCATTTTCCAGCAGATGCCATATTTTTGACCAGCCCTGCCTCCCATCCTGCCCTATGGTTCTCTAGCCTCCTCCTGTGCATGCATGTGTATTTCTGCCTGGGTCAATGGTATGTGTGGATTGTGTGCATGAATCTGTCACAAAGAGGGGAGCCTGAGCTAGAATCTCAGAGCATTGCTGCCCTGGGGCCTGATGTTCTTGGTTTCCTTAGCGCATGTAACAGGAAATTAAATGGGATGAGTGTTTGGTGTGGTTTCTGTCTGCTGAGTTTTTTAACATTGTTCTTCAGATGTGGACTGTTTTACCTTCTCCAGTTTGTTTCATTTTACTGAAGATTTCTTTGTTTTTGTCTTCCTTGTGAGCAGGCTCTTGGAAGAACCTGTTTGATGCAAAAAAAGAAAATGGAAAAAAAAAAAAAAACACAAACCAACCAAAAACCAAAAAATACAACCAAGCAAACAAACTCACTGTGGGAGCCCTTGGGTCTCAGAGGTTATTCAACATGTATAATAAATGGCATTGACTGGGGAAAAAAAAAAAAAAAAGTGAGGTCTGAATGTATAGGCACCTCGTGACAAATTTTCAAAATACACAAAGCAAAATGATAGAACTGAAGGAGGAGGAGGAAGAGGAAGAAAGAAGAAAAGGGGAGGAGGAGGAGAACTCTCACACCTGGGTACCTCACTACTCCTCTCTCAGAAACTATCAGAACAGTTTGGAAATTAGCAAAGACGTGGAAGGTCTGACCTGACTGTCATTTATAGGTCCAGCCACATTCCTTCTCCGTCCTGTCTCCACCCCACACTGGGAATTGAACCCAGGAGTGCTACACCACCCACCGAGCTCCAAAACCAGTGTTCTTTTCCTTCCTGAGTTGGTCAGGGGCAGGCCTCCTGAGCTGCTGGAGTGACAGGTGTGTGCCATGGCCCAGAGCCTCCTCACTGTCTCAAACCGTGGCAGGTGGAAGACAATGGGGGCAGGAAGAGGCTCTGTGTCCCACTCTAGACCCAAGGCCACCCTGCTGCGGATCTCGGTTCTGTGCCCCAGTGGCTGGGCTGAGTGCTCTTGCTCAAGCCTTCAGGGGGAGGGAAGGCTGCTGGCTGGGCACAGGGCTGCCCAAAGGCACCAGCCGCCCGTCCCACCCACAGCCCAGACTCTCCAGTCCTGTGGTGTGAGTACCACCCGGTTTCTGTGCCAGTCCACACCCTGAAATCTTTGAAGTCAGGACCCTCCCCTCCTGATGGGCTGGTGCTGCACTTCTCTGCGGTCCCAGGGAGCCAGTGCTGGAGAAGGTGATGGAGTGATGCAGTTGGAGACCCACCCAGAGTTCAGCCTTTTAGCAAAGGGGCCCCAGAAAACATCACTCAGGTCTGGCGTCACCCCAACCTTAAGTCCACAGAGAAGATTATCTCCCTAAGACGTTTTCATGTACTTTCTTCCTATGCTCTTTTATAATCTGCCAGGGTCGGTTCTGGTCCTCCATGCTCACAGCCTCCTCCGGCCACCTCTTTTTAAGAAAAAAAAAAAAAAAAAAAAAAAAACATTGGACACAATGTCTTTATTTACTTTTATGTGGTGCTGAGGATTGAACCCAGTACCTCACACTTGCGAGGCGGGCGCTCTACAACTGAGCTGCAGCCCCAGCCCTGGCCACCTCTTAATGTGTCTTTCAGGTGACTCTAGTGTAGTTTCTCCTGTTGGAGATGCCCCCACCCCCCACCGGAACCGGCTCCTGCAGTCGAGCGTTGTCCGTGTCGTCAGCCTGTTCTAGGAGGGTGGCCCCGGAGGGGAAGGAGGAAGAGCCCCAACAAAAGCGCTCACGTGATTTCTTGAGTTCGTTCTTGGTAGCCCCTGAGGTCTGCGCGGTAGTCACTGGTCGCGGGGACTAAGGGCTAAGGGTTGCTAAGTGGGCAGGGTACGCGGGGCCGGGTCTGCAGCGCTGCTGAGGGTCTGCGAGAGTGTTGGAGGAGATGAGCGCGCGACTCGCGCGCCAGGCGGGGTTGCACCGCCCAGGCCAGACGGGGTTAGGGGCAGGGAGAGCGACAGCCCTGGAGCCTCGGGGATTGGGAAGAAGGAGACGCCCAAAGCGGCTTTCGGCGGAGCCACAGCTCGGGTCTTCCAGCGCCCGGCCGGTGGACAGAGCGGAAGGAGACGCGGATCCGCCTCGGAGCCAGGCGCTTCTAGGAGGTACCCGGAGAGGGGTGCCAGGTGGGGGTCGATACCCACGCACACCGGGTCTGGCTCGGTCGACCCGCCTTCCCAGCTGGGATCTCGTGTGTAGACCCGCGCACCGCCCGATGCCGTCTGGGGCGGCCTGTGCCAATCACCTCGCTCAGTTCTCATCGCTCGGCCGCCGCTTTCGCCTGGCTGCGGGACTCACCGAGCGCAAAACCCCAAGATCTCGAGACACGCACGCGGCGGGGCGCCGCTGGGGCCCCCCCCCGATCCGGGGCGGGGCGGGGCGTGCCAGGGGCGGGGCTCCGGGAAGGGCCGGGGCTTTGGTCCGCGCCTGCCGAGGCGCACCTGGCCGGCGGGCCATGGGGAACCGCAGCGCCGCGGACGCGGGCGGGCTGTTGGCTGGGCGTGGGCCGGGCACCGGGACCCCGGGGTCAGGCGCGGCGTTGGGGGCAGCGGGGGCGGCAGCACTGGTGGGAGGCGTGCTGCTCATTGGAGTGGTGCTGGCGGGGAATTCGCTCGTGTGCGTGAGCGTGGCGTCGGAGCGCTCGCTGCAGACGCCCACCAACTACTTCATCGTGAGCCTGGCGGCCGCCGACCTCCTCCTCGCACTCCTCGTACTGCCGCTCTTCGTCTACTCCGAGGTAAGCCTGCGTCCCCGCCTGCTCCTGCGTCCCGTCCCTGTCCCCGCTGAGCCCCTTAGCACCCAGGTCGCCTCTTTGATCAGGAATATCGAGTGGCAGCAGACGGTGGCAGGGGCGCCTGACCTGCTCGCCCCCTGGTCCTCAGCTGTCCTCGGGCCCCTGGAGTCTCTGCTCCTTTTGCTGTCAGTCCCCCTGTGTCTCTCTTCTCCCCTCCCCCTCTCCACTTGCCTTGGCTTCTGCCACCCAGAGGCCCCTGTCTTTGGAGCCGGAGACTCCAGAAACTGGCGGCTTGGCCAAACCCCGCCCTCTCCGCAACCGGATTCCCCTCCCCTACACTCGGAGGAGCCAGCCGGACAGACCACCAGATGGGGGCTCAGCCCCGCGCAGTACCCCCAGGGCGCGCGCACACACCGCTGCCTAAGGCCATCCACACCGCACCGGCGCCCTCCACGTGCGCTGGTGAACCAGGCCTGGGGTCCTCCAGGAGCAGTGAGCTGGACTGGACAGCGAATCCAAGGGGAGGCCGGTGGGAGGGGCAGAACCCCGGTGAGAAACCCACACCCAGGAGCCTCTGCCGCAGGCCAGGTCTGGTCCTTGGGTGGTCCCACTGTAGTGCCCACCTCTCTCCTCTGCGGTTGAGCCCGGAGAAAAGCCGCTTAGGGCCCTGCTGGGAACTAGGTGTCCTGGATTGTGGGGGAGGGGAGACGTGGGTTACTAAGGTGGACAGGGCTGTTCTGTCGTTTGGGGCACAGGCCAGTACCGCAAGGACACACGACCTCGGCTCCTCCTAGCTGCGGACGTCACGGTGACGGCTCTTAAGCTGCTAATGTCCCAAATCAGCGCGAAGGGATTTAGAGGGGCGGGGGTGGCACCCTGTTCCTGCCCTTGCAGAGGGATACCCCCAGGCCTGATCCTGTGCTGGGCGCTGTGCCGCGAGTTCTTTGTGTTTTTTAAACTCCTTCGCCCTCACAACTGCCTTGGCTTCTGCCAGCCACCAGTTGTGGATGTGGACACTGCCACCACCCCTGGGCTCACAGATGAGTAAACAGAGAAGTAGCTTGTCCAGAGTCCCACAACAGCAACACCGGCTATTCAGGCAGGCCCACTCTTAGCAGAGCTCTAGGTGGAAAGGGCGGCTTTGTGTTCGGGGCCATCCAGTCCTGGGGCTCCTCTGAAGCCAGGGACTTCAGAGCCCCCAGCATATGTTCCCCAGGCTTCGGGTCCTAAGGAAGGGAGAGCTGAGGCCGGAGGCTGGCTTCTGGCCCTGCCCCTGACCCAGTCAACCAGTCAGAGGACTGTCCAGGCCAGTGAGTGTCCCCAGTTGCCCGAGGCTCACATCAGATTTCCTTTCCCCTGATACTCAGTCCATGCTCCCTCAAAAAAGTGGGGGTCAGAAAGTCTGCAGCTAGCAAATAACTGACTTTTTTTTCTCCTTGCTGCGCCCTTGGCCTGGCCACCCAGGTGCACGGCGGCACGTGGTTGCTGAGCCCCCGACTTTGCGACGCACTCATGGCCATGGACGTCATGCTGTGCACCGCCTCCATCTTCAACCTGTGCGCCATCAGCGTGGACAGGTGGGCGCCCCCGCTGTCCCCCCACCCCAAACCCCCGGGCCAGCTGCTCCGTGGGCCTCACCGCTGCCGCCCGCGCCCCCCAGGTTCGTGGCCGTGACTGTGCCGCTGCGCTACCACCGTCAGGGCCGGCGCCAGCTGCTGCTCATCGGTGCCACGTGGCTGCTCTCTGCAGCTGTGGCGGCGCCAGTACTGTGCGGCCTCAACGACGCGCGCGGGCGCGACCCTGCCGTGTGCCGCCTGGAGGACCGCGACTACGTGGTCTATTCGTCCGTGTGCTCCTTCTTCTTGCCCTGCCCGCTCATGCTGCTGCTCTACTGGGCCACGTTCCGCGGCCTCCGGCGCTGGGGAGCGGCCCGGCGAGCCAAGCTGCACGCCCGCGCGCCCCGCCGGCCCAGCGGCCCCGGCCCGCCACCTGCATCCAGCCTTCCCCCGGGACCCTGCGGGCCCGACTGTCCGGTGCCCGGGCCGGTCCTCCACCGGGTCTCCTGCGGACCCGGCTGCCCGCCTCTCGACGCCATTCCTGAAGCAGAGCTCTCGCCCCAGCCCCTGACGCAGGCCCACCAAAGGCGTGCCAAGATCACCAGCCGAGAGCGCAAGGCCATGAGGGTCCTGCCGGTGGTGGTTGGTGGGTTCCTGCCCTGGTGCGGGTCGGAGGAAGGGGCTGAGGTGCAGAGGGAGGTGCAGAGGGGGCGGGGAGGGGCAGGGCGGCCGGATGGAGGAGAGGGGAATGGGAGAGGGTGGGGCGTGGGGCTCCGGTTTGGCTGACTGCCCTCGCCCCCAGGGGCCTTCCTGGTATGCTGGACGCCCTTCTTCGTGGTGCACATTACAGGGGCACTGTGTCGGGCTTGCTTCGTGCCCC